GCTCATCAACACCAGTACAAGCCTTTCCCATCTCCGATTTCTGGCCTCAGGCAAAAAATACATACGAACTACTCCTTTGCCCTGGGGCCATCCAGAAAGACACCTCCATTTCAGAGCTTAGGGGAGAGGCACTAGAGATACTCAACCCCTACAGCTGTGGTAGTATTAAAACAACGATATCTTTGTCCAACGGACCCTTATTTATTAAAACACATTCCTAGTACATCTCTGAGAAACACCAGAGGCTGCCAGTTTTATGGAGAGCAGTAAAACGTGCAGATCAGCCTCTCCCGGCACAGACGGCAAGCGGCCGAGCTTTGCCGCTGCGTGTATGGCTGTTGACACCGCTGCTTTGCACATACTGATTTTCATCGGTCTCCGCGTTTTGTCTGTCAGAGTTGAAAATAATGACCCTCCCCATCATTAAAAAAAGAGAACAGGCATCGAGATGATTTTAGCCAGTGGCAACTTAAGAACACACTAAATTTTAAATGCCATAAGGGGAGGGAAAGCGGGGCAGGTATTTTCCACATTTAGCACCGTCCCTTGCTGTGGGAGGTAATAAATTGAGCATCCCAAGCGTATCACGCATAGACTGAACAACTTGAGCAAGGCAGGCCAGATCCTCACCTCCTTCTTCACAAAGAAAAGCAATTTACTCCTTCAATAAAAGCAGCAGAGACTGCGAGTTATCCGTGGGTATCAGAGCCTACAATCTACTGCCTGGATTAGGAGATTCATTGACAGCTCTGGGTTTAGGAAAGGGATTTTATCCACTCTTCAGAGTTAATGCCAGCATTTACAATTACCGTTATTAGGATGGATGTAACCAGCTTTGGGCTAGCAGCATCTTGCCTAGCCAGGGAAGCTCATTCAAAGCAAAAAGAATAAAAGTTTTTCATATCTAAGGCAATTTCAGGCAAAAATAATGCTTTTGGCTGAGCTCTTCCTCCCTGGCAATGCCCACTCTGTACAAATGCCCTCCCAAGCAGGCAGCAGCGATGCCAACGAGCAGCTCCCCTAACAGAGGGACCGATGCCAGGCTGCTGCCTTGGAGTAAGGGACAAACAGGGACACGGAAGGAGCGAGCTGGGGAGGGGCAAGATCCCTCCGTGACCCCTGGCACCTCCAGGTGCCATCTCCCCAAATAAGATGTCAAAGTTGAGTTTGTTTGAGGAAGGACCTCACCACCCTGGGTGAAGGCACTGGTCCCACTGTTCCCACCACCGGGAACCAGCCCTCCAGAGCTCAGCACTGGGCCAAAACAGAGGGCACAGTCTGCATTTGGACTTTGGGAGAAGATCAGCTCTGGACTGGGCTGCCCACGCCAGGGGATGGGCACAGACGGTCCATGAGGCCCCAATAAATAACCTGCAGCAGGTCCACTATGCTAAAGGAACGCTGCACATCACGTTTGCCATGACACTGTGGATGAGGAGGGTAAGTGGGGAAGTTCTGAGGGTCTCAGGGCCACTGAAGGACCTCTTCATCCATAAAAGCTGCTCTGGGAAGTTGATGAGTTTGCACCAGCCTCAAGAATTCAAGGATGAGCCCAAGCGAGGGCCTCAGGGCAAACCCACCACACCAAAACCCTGCCCAAACCACGGCGCTGCTTTCACTCCGCTGATGGAAGAGCCAAAACCACCAGGAAAAGCAAAAGAAAGAGGAGGAGGAGAGAGAAAGAGCTAAAATAAGACAACCAAAACACAACCCCAAATTTCCAGCCCTGTGGCCGAGGTTAAGAGCCAGAAGACCTCAGAGCCACTGCTGGGTCCAGGCTGGAAACGCATTTGCAGGGTCCCCGAGACAGCTGCCCGGCAGCTGCGAGGCTCCAGTCCGCCCCAGTAATCCTCCACTTTCTCATTCTTACTCTGCACTTACAGCTATAAATAGACGGTTCATCCGACCAACCCCCTCATTCACGGTCTCCGTCAGATGAGGACAAGCAGAGTCCTATATTTGTAGCACATCTGGCAGGCTTAGGTTTCAGGGTGAAGGAGTGCAAGATGTGCAGTCGTTGGACTCGAGATCTTGCAGGGTTTTAATTAGCCGGATTGTGCTTGGACAGAGACACGCGTCTGGAAATAGCAAGGGAAGCCTTTTGCCATCTATTCTTCTCGGGTCTTACGTTCCCCATTCAAAGTGGAACGTTATAATCCCAAGAACAACCCTTACATGGTTATAGCAACTAACATGATCCTAAAAACGGTGCAAGCAGGACACATAAAAATCTATACTGGTGACAAAGAAGAAAAGACACGTTTACAAGTGCTACGGCTCGAGTGTCTTGTACCATGCAGCCATTTATTTAACCGGCTGGCACGCGTGGTTTTTCCAACACAGAAAAAATAATGAGAAAAGTGGCAGCTAACTTATCATCTCACCTTGGCTCCTCTATTCATTACTTTTTTTTAAAATGCACTTGAGAAATTCTGCTGATCACAGCACTATTTTGGAAGGTACGAGGAGGCAACACTGGTGACAGCAGCGAAAGAAGCAGGAGAAACTTCAGCAAGAAGCAGGAGACAGGTTGTTGGTAGACCATGGGCCCAAACGAGTCGCATTCCTTGAGAAATTGAGGCCAGGCAGGAGATTTTCTGCAACTCCCCTTCTCTACAATGAAAGGTTTGGGAACACACCCCTATCCCCAATACTTTTGTTGGGGATCAATCCCCAGCGAGTTGGGGCTTGAAGCAAGAGCAGGGGGCACCGAGCTGTGGGACGAAGCCCTCCCTCCCCAGGAACACACATCAGCTCCGGTGGGGAGCTGCTTTAAAACACTTTCTTTGTCCTTTTTGCAACACTACAACTTCACCCCTCAAGGCAATTCATTTTTAAAGGAGAATAAAAGGTAAAAGTTATGCAAATTAATGTTTCATGTCAAACCATTGACAGCACTTCTACCTGACTCTGAATTCTTCAAATAGCTACCAAACAACCCAAAACCTGCCCTATACGTAATCCATCCAAGCCTGCCGGGCTTCATGCCAGCATGGAGGGACAGCACGATGAAGTGGAGAAGGCTCATGACAAAGAAGGTTCTGGTGCTGTAAAAAGGACCAGGATTAATTGCTCTCATAAATTTAATGAGACAAAATAACTGGAGAGAGCTTAAGTGGCAGCAGAGAAAATTTCATTTAAATGTTAAGTATAACTTCTGAAGTACCAGAATGGTTTGGGGCAGCTGAAACGGCCATCAAGAGAGATGGAAAAGCAGTTGGCAGGGAAGATGCTCGGCAGTAAGGTGGATAACTGCCTACTGCCATCAGTGCCCAGCAGCCGGAGCTGTGTGGGAAGCAGCGGCTCACATCCCTGCAGACCTGCGGGAGCATCCTCAGAAGGGTCACTTTGACTTTTGGGGGGCAGGCTCCAGCAAACGCACCCACATGTTGCTGTTGCAGAGCCCTGCTCATTTCCCAGGCAAAGCTCCCCCAAAAGCGGTTGCTGCCCTAGGGTCTGGCATTAGGGCACGCTGAAATAAATCAGGCAGCAGAGGACAAACGTCCCTTTACTGCTCCTCCCAGTATCGATCAGGCACCACTTGCAAACCGGCCGGCCCTCGCCATCTGCCTGGGCTCTCCGCCGGTTGCCATCTGGCCGACGGCACAGCAAACCGAGGGGCCAGCAGGCTGAGGACAGGGAATTTGAGAACTTCCCAGCATCCCTGATATCCTTTACGCTTCCCCTCCCCTTTCCATCATCAATTGTTGTTTTGGGTTTGGTTTTTTGGGGGTTTGTTTGTTTGTTTTTTAAAATAAATAAATAGCCGTTGTTTTAAAATAAATAAATGTGCCTTGATCTGCTGGACAGCTGACCCAGCGCCGGGGAGCTGCATGCAGCCTGGCATAATCTCTGCGATACCCCAAAGGTGAAAGGACAATGGGTTCACCAAGGCATGAAGATCCTTTATACACACCAGCACCCCGCGGCCACCCCACGCTTGCAGGCAGACAGCTTGTTTCTGCAGCGCACGTAAACGGCCCCCGTGGCACTGCTATTGATCTGCTCCCAGCCCCGGCGCTGGCTTTCGTCCTCGGCTGCCGCGGCCCCTCTGCGCCGGGAGGGACCTCGCTGCCCGCCAGGATGAAGGTCCTCGCTCTTTAGAGCATTGTAGGGACAATGGGGACAAAGCTTGGTTCCTTCTCCTTCCCAAAGCTGCATCTCCGCCACAAATACATGTATATTTTGAATGCTTTGCAGAACAGGAACTCACCCAAAATCTCAAGTGGGAGACACCAAACTGCCCCGTTTAAGTACTTCAGGTTGAAATGAAGCATTTTGACGTTCTCCAAAGAAATCACTTTTATCAGCCCCCAAGATGTCCTGTTAGAACCAGCTCAATATTTATCCTGAGCTTTTTATCCCAGCAGCACAACGCCCAAAGAGAGCTCCCTTTGGGAGACTCCTCTCTCCCGGGGGGTGACTTGGCGATGCCGAGCCCACCGGCGTTGTCCCTCCTCACCTGCACCCCGGCCCTTCGAGGCCAGCGGGGACGGCAGGTTGGACCCTTGCAGCGGCACATTTCATACGGACAGGACTGTGCATCCCTCCAAAATGATCCAAAGGGCAAAAATCACCACTCAGCTGCATAGATGTAGCAAGTTAATGTGGAAAAAACACCCAGAGATGGAGGGGTCTGTCTTGCTGCACCTCGTCGTGCTGTTCGGTAGTGGTTCCTTCCATGCGTTGGGTCACTTCACTGCTTGCTGTGAAAATCACTTCCTCGCCTCCAATAAAGCATTTTGGATGTACTCAGATCTTCCCAAGGCTGCTGGATCATCAGCAATATTAAATGCAAAGATGCTGGATGGACTGAATCATTCCAAGCTTGTGAATGACGCCCTTGTTCAGCTGTTTGGAGATCAGCAGCGGCTAAGAAAGAGCTTTCTCATGTGGACCTGCGGTTTGCCAGCACCCAGCATCGGTGCCCAGTACGCACCATTGTGACCGGCAAATTTCCAATGAAAGTTCCCTTGTCAAGCACGGAGAGACGCTCCTTGTCAAAGGGAGAAAGGGGGACTATTGCTGATGTGTCTCCGGGCAGCGGGAGCAGCAACACTCGTGCTAAGGGGCTCTCCAGGGCATTGCTGGGTTTTTACAGTTACGGGTGAATTACGTCTCCGTTTCGTAGGTTGTGTTTCCACGCACAACCTGGCTGCACCAGAAGCACAAATCTGGATGAAGGAATTTGTGCAATACCCCCATGCTGATTTACAGCCGCCTTTCCCCAGCGGTCCTAACTAAAGATGTAAAGAGGAGGATTTTGCAAAGAATGAGGAAAAAAAGGGAAAGATAAAAGTTGGAGACAATCTGGGACAGAACAGGGCGACCAGTAAGAAATAAACCTTTAAGTCATCTGAGCACAGGACTTGGGCATCTAAGCCCCTCTCATAGAGAAACCAACTCGCAGCCACGAGCAAAGGTCCAAGGAACAGTTTGGGAAGCTGGTCCCACCCGGACACCCTGCGGACACCCAGCTGCACCGCCGGCAGCAGAGCCGTTAAAAGTGGGAACCCCCCTTCAACACCCAATCGCCTGCCCCGCGCTCCGAGGGCGCTGCGCCGAAACCCCCCGTTCTGGGAGAGCGTGCCATCCCCACCAGCGCTTGTGGGCGAGGTCACGCACAAACCTTTCTCCTATTAAAAGCACGCCTATGTGTGAGAATCAGGAATTTTAAAACCCGATATTAAAGGGATTTTGAGAACTTTAGGAGAGGGGGGGAAAAATGTTATTCTTGAAAGGATCCCTTTATAAGTTAAAATTTTATTAAACTGTAGCTGCTGGGAGCAAACCGCGAGCGGGAGATTCCAGGGCACTCCGTTCCCTCGACTAGTAATTTATGATTTACTTTGGTAATAACTGAAGCCATAAGGAACTCATTGGATTAAGGAGTCTTATTATTTATGTTGTGGAACAATAATATTTAACTGTATAAAGCCACATATCCACCCATACAGACTTTCCCTCCATATGAAACAGGCTGCACTTCATAAGTAAAACCCTGGCTGACGGGAATGCTGCCATCGAATTCCGATAGCGCCCGCATTTCACCGTATACATTGTAGTTCAAGGTTGCTTTTAAAAGCCCGTTATATCATCACCACGGGCAGCAAAACACAGATTCCAGAGACCCAGATAAATATAGACACAGAAACCCCAGCAGCATCACCCCGCATCCCGCCACAGCACCAGCAATGGGCAGGATGGGTCATCTGTGAGGGACTGCCCTGGGGCCGGCCGGCGTGGTCCAAAACTCACTCCCAGGGGATGCAGACCCACGTGCCAGCCCCAAAAATGCCATGGGGGGGGATCCAGTGCTGAGTTAGCAATGGGTACCCCCATCCCAGAGAGCAGCTTGGCTTCGGTTGGCTCAGAGGACGAATTATGTCCCGGGGTTTTGCAGTTAATGATGGGATTTAGCAGGCAGAGGGGCTCCCCGTGGGCTTGGCCCCCCCTCACCCCCCACCGAGCCACTCGTACACTCAACCCGATCAAAAGTGATGTCTCCCAGGGCTCTACATGGGAAAAGAGGGACTATTGTAAGAGTACAAAAATCTCCTGGCAAGACGATCAAAGCAGCCAGCCCGGCTCTCCAAGCCCCACTGTCAAGGAACTACATCGCAACTTTTCCCTTTTTGTGTCACCTCCCCGTGAGAAGGCAAGGCCACTTACTCCGCCAGCTCCTCCAAGCTCCGATATACATCATCATCATTTTCCGTGGTCTCCTCCGACGGGAAGGGCCTGGGGAAGGAGAGGAATGACAGCGTTATTGGTGTCTCACCCCTTGCAGCAGATCCCCTGCAGCCCCAGCTGAACTCAGCCCAGCCCCGAGCATCCCATTGAGCAGCGGGTGTTTCGGAACAAAATATTCATGGCAAATACATTTTTTCCTATTGAGGCATTAGCTCCCGGGACGACATCATCTCCGCTGCTTCCCGCGGGCAGTGCTGGCACGGCAGGACAAGAAACCAGGTGGTGAGGCTGGTTCACCGCAGGGCACCATCTGAGCACTGAAGTGAGGAGCTGCATCGTCTAACAGCATCTCAGAGACCCCGTGTCTGAGCCGCCGCTCCCCGCTGTGCTGCTGCTGCACAAACAACTCGGTAGAAATCTAATTCAAGTCCAGTGTTGGACTTGTTGAGATGGGGAAACACCTTCTCCTCCACCCACGATGGAGCCTTTCTACCTGCAAGCTCCTGCCCGGCTGGGGCACATCAAGCTGCTTCCCACCAGCATCTCCCACCACTGCAAGCAGCCGATCCCACCAGAATGAATGAGTCCTTACAAACCCTGGCCTTCCTCATCTTAACAACTCTCTGACAGCTGAAAAAAAGTTAAAACCCTGGGGATGAGGGAAAGGACACCAAAAGGGCAAAAGGAAGAGGGGAGAAAGCAGATTGAAAGAGAAAGGGAAGGAGTGGGGGGAATACAAGAATTCCTTGGCTCGTTCTGAAGTAATAACCAAATAACGTATGAAGGAGATGAAAAATACTGCTTTAATTAAACCCAATGTATTATTGCTGGCACAGGGCCACGGCGGGCTATGGCTCTGCTGGGGCTGGATGCACCTTGCGACGACGGCTGCGTCGGGC